AATACCCAGGAAACACAAGACAAAAAATGAATACTGGTGGTATGATTAAACCAGGCTAGTTCCAGGCTTAGAAGGCTGCTCTTTATTGGACCCCCTTCCTATGTTAACAGCTTCCTGACTTCCTTCAGTATTGATTTTACCTTTCCTAAAATATCCCAGAGGCTCAAATTATACTCTGGACACATTATACAAAGACCTAGCTCTCAGGAGAAGTTGGAGAGAATGCTGGGGAAGGTGGAAGGCAAAAGAAGAAGAGGATGACCAGCAGCAAGATGGATGGACTCAGTTACAACAGTGATGGGTACACTGCTGGATAACTTGAAGGACCAGTTTGGGGACAGATCCTCCTGGAAAAAAATCTATCTGTATGGTTGCTAAGAGTCGACACCGACTTGATGGTACATAATCAATCAATCAATCAATCAATCAATCAATCAATCAAAACATTCCAGAGCCCTGGGGTTTGCCATTTTAACATGCTCAGAGTACAGTGCTGAGCACTCTGGGATATGGAAAGCAGCAGATATATCTATAGAGAGTGAATTTTTCTCCTCCCAGCACATCCTCTCTGCACCTGATGAACTGAACTGTGAACTTTATGAAATATGTTGACACAGCTCTCAATATTCATTCATAGTTCCAGTTTAATAATGAGTTTTAGTCTGTTAGAGCGATATAATACATTCTGTCATTTATAACTAAGTAATGTTATACCAGAAAATTATAACCTCCATGTCATTTTTAAATCCTTAATTTATTCACTTGTATTTTACTTTTTATTCCTTCTTCTTGTTCTCTTTTTACGTTTCTTTATATATCTTCCTTAATGTTTAAGAAAAAATACAAAAAAAAATTGTGATCTACAAACTTGTATATTGGAGATGCCTAAAGCTGGCACAGCACTATTCATTGCCCCCCCCCTTTTTTCCCTAAAGTAAGATACACATTCAGGATCTTGACCTAGATAATATGGTTTTGTAAAATATATACACACACAAACCAAGAAACTTTGAACATTTATGAAAATCTCCAGCATATAAAAAGGTCTGAATTTCCCTAAAGTGCCTCTCAAGCAACTTTTTATGTTAAAATAAAAACAACAAATAAATTAGTCATTATAAATTAGTATAATAAATTAGTTATTATAACTCCATTTCTTTGCTAATCCAGCTAAAGGAACCCAACTTGGCTGCTCTCAGCTACACAAAGAGAAGGAGAAAAAGAATGCAATAAATAAGTAACCCCTCATGTTTATTTTACTATTTGCATCCCTGGTTGACCAAGCGAAGCCTTTTTGTATCTTTTCTAGAGTCACTTTAGAAGAGAAAAGGCTTCATGCAATTAGGCTTCCTCCCTAGAATTTTTCTTTGCACTCTAGAACAAGCAAGCTGGAAGGAAGAGCAGAAGGCAAGCAAAGAAATCAGAGGAAATGTGCAAATTATATTTCAGTTTCCTGCTCAAGTGGAAAATTGTCCTTCACATCTTGCCATGTGTCACTCATCGCAACTTGATTAGATTGTGACTAAGAGGAAGACAAGTGCTGGTCCTCCCCGCCCCCCCTTGCCATAGCAAAGTTTCATCTTCATTGTCAAAACCTCTTGAAAATAATTTCTTTTTCTTCGGGTGGGTGCTGAAGTGTAATGCATGAGCGTCTTTCTAGGGAACATCTGTGAATTGGCAAGCTGTAATTGATCTTCCGCAGTTAATGCTCATGGACTTTCGAAAGCTCTTTGGATTTGCAGAGCTTGAAAATAGAAGCAGCTATTTCTTTTTCTTTTGCAAAAAGCCTAAAAACTGCCTTAATAAAGCCAGCCTATTGTTTCATTTATGGTCTGTGTAGTAGCCCTCAAACTGACCGAGTTGCATCTGGTGCGCTGACTCAGGATCACAGATGGGGAAAGGGAAACAAAAGTTTTTGATTCAATAGGTCTTATGTAGACACACACAAAATGGGATTAAAACCAGATCAAGACACTTTAAAGAGGCTTATAAATGAGGCTACAGAAGAATATTCCTTTCAGAGGAGCAATATCTATCAAGCAATAAACAGAACTGGCACGAATTTGTGGAGGTTCTGGGATAGTGGCCTTAGAAGAATCTTATTCAGTATTGTTTAAAGATAGCATTTAAAAAAGGAGAAAGAAGAAATCTACTAAAACATTACAGGTAAATATTTCATTTCAAATTTCTCTTTGTTATACTCCAACCGACAGACGATATTTATAAACACTTTTGTCTATTTCTGATTTCAGTTCTTTGATCAATTCTTTCCTCTCTTAAAAACCATGCTTTAAATGCTTCAATTTGTCTTGATGTATAATATGTAATATATATGGAAGCTATTTTTGCTTAAATTTGGTCAAACTTCTGTTATGAATATATGCTATTAACTTTGCCATTACTGTATATTCTGCAAAAATTTGGAGAATTCCCAGCCTGATATCATTGGTAACATCTCTCTTTCCCAGTGTTATGCTAAGTTTATCCTCATGGCCATGAACATGTACCTTTGTAAACTATTACTGTATATTTTTTTGTTTGATATATCTTGGAATTATGCCTAGTTAAAAAAAGTAGTTTTGTTTCAAATCTGATTTCTAAAATTCTCTTAGATCTCTAAAATCCTTTTTCTTATTATTAAAAATAATGTACCTCATTTTTTATGGTGAATATTTCATCAATGATATACTGAACACTAACTGTATAACTTCTGTAACTTTTTATCCGTGTGTGTGTGTGTCTTTGAGTCAGTTTTTGACTCTTGACAAATGCCTGGACTAGTCCCTGCAGTTTTCTTGGTAAGTTTGGTTTTGTTTTTTTCTGGAAGTGGCTTGCCATTGCCTCCTTCCTAGGGCTGAGAAAGAGTGACTGGCCCAAAGTCATCCAGCTGGCTTCACGCCTAAGGCAATACTAAAACTCATGGTCTCCTGATTTCTAGCCTGATGCTTTAACTGCTACTCCAAAGTGGCTCCTTTGTCCACCTACTGTTATTACATCTTTGCATCAGTTATGTGTATTTTTCTTTCTTTTTTCCTTTCACTTGTTCATTTTCTCTTTCTCTCTCTCACACACACTCATACACACACTTTTTTCTTTTAAAAAAAGGTTCATAAAATTATTTTAAAGTGATTTTTAAAAAATGGTTAAAGGGACAGCTCCCAAGGATTGACGGCAGTTGAAATATTCTGTGGACAAGGAGCATCTGAAGATGCTGGTCTGAACTGCAATTCCAGGGATCTCTTTCAGATAGAAACTATGCAGGGCTGGAGGTTGAGTGGCTGGACTGCCCTGAAGAATAGAAATTTCCCTGGGGCATGAAGACAATGTTTTGCTTATGTGGTCATTTCCCAAAATTACAATCGTAGTTAAGCAGAGGAAGACAAGGCTATGTAATGAAGCATCAATTCATACAGAGACATCTGTCACAGAATTGTGAGCTGACCAGGAATTCTATTCTTGCTGATCAGGTTCTTTCTGAGGTCACAAGAAGACTGTGATTAAGTCAGCCCTGATGGGGCTGCACAGCCCCATTTTTTTGTCCTTGTGGAGGCTGGTGGAAAAATATAGAACTGACCAAAATAGAGGACAGAGGAAGTGCTGTGTGAGATGACCACCTTTGATCTTGATGGCCACAAGATGGAAGAGCCTTGATTCTGGTGATCTTGGTATGGTGAGGGATCATTTGTGGGACAAGGCTTTAGATTTCTCAATCTAAAATTTAATCCTGACTCTTAGGGAAACCCAAAGAAAAGTGTACAGTCTGGATTGGGAGTGCTAGCAATAGTGCACAATAGAAGACCAGGGCAGAGAAGAACATGGAGTTGCCAGTGCTAGAACAAGGGAGGCTGCAGAATCTTTCCCCCCTCTCCTTATTCTTTTTGAACTGAACAGGGCTGAGTCGGATGAAGCTTTTAGAAGGCTTTGGTGGTTTATTAAGATTTTTTTCCTGGTGCAAATGGCAGTGTGGCCAAGAGGCCTGGGGATTTCCAGCCAGAGAATGGGGTCTGAAATGTGCTTGTGAAGGAACAAAAGAGTCCCAGTTAACTTCTGGGATGAGATCAGAGCTTTGGCTAGGCATGAAGATGTAACACCTACAGTAACTTTGAAATCTAACACCCTAAGACAGTATTTCTCAACTTGGGCAACTTTAAGATGTGTAGACTTCAACTCCCAGAATTCCCCAGCCAGCCTGCCTGGGGAATTCTGGGAGTTGAAGTCCACACATCTTAAAGTTGTCCAGGTTAAGAAACACTGCCCTAAGAGCTTGTTCCCACAGAGAGGCTCACAAACCAGATAACAGTTATGATAACACTTTGCTTACAAGATTCTCCTGTGTGTCCTTCACCAAGTCAGGAAACATGATTGGTGCTTGCTTACCTAACATGAGCAGGAGGGGAAAAGAAACCATGGAATCCATGATTTGGGGCCTGTGATATCTGCTGTTTGTACAGAACACTTGGCTGGGATTTTGCCAAAGTTGGCTTCCTTTGCATCAGGGTTCAGGATGGTAAACAAGTAGCTTAAGGCTGCTTTCCCCAATCTGGGGCCTTCCAGTTGTACTGTACTACAGCCTTCGTGTTCCCCAATGATCACAAAAGCTGGGAATTATGGGGAACATTGCTTAGTTTCAGGGCTCAACTAAGTTATTTTTGGTCAGCTTTTAGGCTCAACCAAGAAACAGGTCTTCCTCTGCAGCTCTCTCCAACCACCTGAGTGTGACTGATAGCCTGGAAAAAACAGATAGGAGCGATGGGGCACATCCCACTGAAATGAATGGCTTCTTTCAGGGCACCTTCTTTCCCATAAACACACCCCATAAATACATGCAGAGGCACATGGAAGCCATTTTCTGTGGCTGATCCTCTCATACAGTTTATTTACCACAAAATGCCATCCAACAGATAATAAAGAATGGGAAATGAGTAGGTACAAAGAGTCACAGTGAACTAGAAGAACCTGTATGTATTATGTGTTATATTTCATCACATGATCCACAAAAAACCAAGGGTTGACTGCAAATTCTCACCATAAGAAGCCTGTCTCCTACTTGCAACCTTCCATCCTTCTGGGCTGCTCCTCCATCAATAATTTTTGTGACATAGATGCTGTTGTCTCCAGGGATGTGCTGATTTCCTACACCTCCAGCGATGCTGAATCCCAGACCTAAATGGAAATGGAGTGGAGAATAAGCTTTACTGAAAATGAACTAAGGACAAGCTAGGTTAGCATTCAAGAGAGGTCCACCTGGCATACTGGAGAAAGATTTCAGAAGTAAGATTCATCGCAACAGAAAATTGGGCGTAAGGGTCTTGAATTCAGACACAGTTCTTATCTAGTGCAGGAAGTTCTGTTCTAAAAGGGCAAGGCTACAAGGAAGTAGGAAACTGCCTTATATTGAGATACTGAAGATCTTCCCACTTGCTAGACCATTCTTCTGGGCAAGGGACATATCTAGACTTCCTTAGGCCAAATCCAAACCCATATTCCAGGCTGGTTTTCCTATGACACAATTGTACGCTAAACAGGTACTGTATGAACCACCGGGGCAACCCCTGAAGCTACTTCCACTCCACCTCACCCCACCAGAAAACACCATTGGGTGAACCTGCTTAGTTTTCTAGAGGCTGGTGGAATATGAAGACCAGACCTTGCTGCAAAGTGTTAGGAAACTGCACTGTAGGTATCCTGAAATGAAGAGAAGAAGAGGACAACCAGCAGCAAGGTGGATGGACTCAGTTACAGTGGTAATGAGTACACTGTTGGGAGACTTAAAAGAACGGGTTAGGGATAGATCATTTTGGAGAAAATCTATCTACGTGGTCAACCTGATTGCACATAACCAACCAATCAATCCTGAAATGCTAATGTATCTAATGTTGGGTTAATAAGGTCTATGTTTGACTTTTGTCAGGCCTAGCCCAAGGAACTCCAGGAGACCATGTAGATTCAGTTCAGCAATGTTTATTAGCTACAACCTCGAGCAAGAATCTCCCCAG